CCCCGGAAACGACAACCGAGCTACCAAATTTTCACGAAAACTCGGTCGACTAGAATAGGAACACGCGTGGGAAAAAAACAATTCGAGCGGAGGGTTGTTTTCCAACCCGTTGTAACTCGTCGGACTTTTTCGCGATTCCAAATAAAAATTCCCTCTGGTTGCGTATATATCGGCCGTGCGCTTCCGAGCACAAATTTATATATTCTCTCTTTGGTCGGATGAAAGCTACCGCGTGCGCTTCGTCGATTAAATGCCGGAATTTTCGAGGTTTTCGCGCACCGGAGCGCTCGAATTCGGTTGATTCGGTTGCTCGGGATTTTGTCCTCTCCGTACCCTCCACCGCTTCATCCCCCTTTCTCCCGTTCACTGAAAAAAATAGCCGCGCACGCTGCACCACCACCATAAAAATGAACGTCTAGAGAACGTTACCGTGAAACTTTCCCTTTTCCGCCCGCGTCCCTCGAGATGCATCAGACGGAAACGAATTTTCCCGAGAATACCATCGCCGCACGCAACGACTGGTTGTGCCTCGCGAAGTCGAAACCACGGCCGAATCGGTGCAGTACACCGCGTCGCGCGTTAACGGACACTAACGATCGTTCCTGCGCGTAAATATCACCGACAGCGGCGACCAAATGACTCGCAAAACACAAGATTCCGATGTGCTCGCGAAGGGAAGCCCAGTCACTGTTACGAAACGGGTAAACACGCGATCGATAAGCGCGTCGCTGACGATTCTTGGGCACCACTGAAACAAACCTCGATTGGAAATAACGTCTGGTCGATCGTCGATCGACGAGAGAAGCTTCTCGTGTCGCATCGTCCTTGCGAAATTATCCGCGACACCGGGGGAACGAGTCGGACGGATCGCGGGGGCGCGATCGGCCGGAAACCATGGGTACACCGTAAACAAATTGCACAACACTCGAAAAGACCGCGGCACAATTGGGATCGTCGTCGTTTCGTCAAGTACACACGCGGAACGGAGGTCACCGTGTTGATAAACTCGGACCGCGACAGGGTCGGATGTTCGCCGCGCGAACGTCGAGCAAAGTACTCACCGTTGGTCCGTGGGAATCGTAGCCGGCGATATTCCTCGTCTCGGTGCGGTTAATCCTTGCGGAGGTATCGTCCCGGTGGATGCAAGGTCGGGCCCGATAATGCCGGTGGCGTTCGACAGGGTCGAAAGCGAAGGTTAGGTATCCGGTTAGGTTGGTCGCACGGCACACACGCTCGCCGCTACTGCTGCCGCGACGTTTCGCACTACCGACTCGACGAAACCGATAGAGTGTGTATCACGGATATGTAGACCGATAATGACTATTCTATTCGCTAATCCGTCCGCGTCTCTCTCCTTCTCTGTCACTGACACTGTCCCCTCTTTATCTCTCACCCTATCTCTCTTCTTTCTCTCTCTTCTCTCCTCTCTCTTTCTCTCTTTCTACCTCTCCACCTCCGCCACCCCCTGGATTCACTCTATCTCTCTCCCCCTTCGCGGTGACTGTCCCACTCCGTGCGGCTCTCTCACTCTCTCTTCCTCCTTTCTCTCTCCCTCTCTCTCCCTCGTTCTCTTTCCACCTTCGAGTCGGCTATCCTCCCGTCCGTAGGTCTGTCTCTGTCTCGCCCTCCGCGCGTTCGGTGTTCCGTGTGCGGGATGTGGGACAGACCCGGGACAGATGGACAGGGATAGACGGTAGATAGGTAGGTAGAGAGAGCAGCGAGCGCGGCTAGGCTATTATAGCAGGAGGGCGTAGGAGAGCCCAGCTCAACTTTTCACGAGAACTTTAGTTGTTACGGATCGCTCTCTTGGCCGAGGGGTTATGCGCGAGGGGGGCGCTCGTTCGCTCGCTCGGCTCTCGCCGCGGGAGACCGGACCGCGAGCGGATCTTTGGGGTGGGTCGGAGGGAGGCAACCACCGCTCGAGAAGGGATGGTGCGCGAGCGAAACGCGGCGGGACCCGGGGGGTAGCCGTTCCGATGGAAGGGGACACGCCGGAACGATCACGAACGGAGAGGACGGACAGAGAGAAGGACTGCCGATCACCTGGACTGAACGAGACGCAAGTCGTGTCGCGTTTGCGCGTACCGAAGGAAAGAACGGGAGAGAGAACCGGCGAAATTGGCCTTGCGAACAAGGAGAAAGGGAAGACCAGAGATAGACCGAGCCTAACGCGAGCCGGGAGGGAGCGAGACCGAGCCGTGCGTACTGCTGAACCGCGACTGCTCGTGGAAAGTCGGCGTGGCGAAAGGAGGAGCATCCGGGCCGCCGTCGCGCGGTGGGGAGCCAATCGCGTTCATTCGCGTGAACCAACCTAACCGACCTAACCAGCCGCGATGGCAACGCTTGCTCGCCACGACGTTACGTACAGTCTGTCTCTAAAAATATATTCGAGGTTCGGTCCTTGCTTCATCCCTCCGCCCCCATTCGCGTTTTCCCTACTCCTTCGACTTCTTCTTCTTCTTTTGTTCCTTCTCTTACCCTTTTCTTCGCGCTGTTTCGCCGAAAAAGTCCACCGAGCGGAGGGAATACATCTATGAAATAGCCGAATTCGCATTGTTTCCTATAAGGGTGGTCGGTCCTACTTTACGACGAACTTTTATGGGGATCACGATCGATTCGTAGATCGGTTCGATGAACGTTGCGATAAGGAAACTCGAAAGAATGGACGAGAATAAACCTCGAGTCCGTACTCCCTTGACTGAAACGAAGCGGTATCTTTTACATTACGAGCGACCGTGAAACAGCCGCTTCCGACGCGAGATAAGAGTATAATTCCGTGTAGTTGACTTCGCATCGCGCAGA